CTCTGCCCACTCAAGTGTCTGTTTTATTCTCCATGCCAGCTGAGACCTGTTCCTGGGCTGCGCAGGAAGCGGCCCTGCTAAGTGCCCACACTGGCTTCCTGGGGATGGTCTGCACGCAGTTACTGCAGCCCACTGCGCTTCACTTTCTTCTTCCTCAGCCACACCCCAGGGAGTAGGACAGGCAGCCACAGATAGGGGTGTTCATAGACTGCTTTGATGGGGTGTCTCTAGTCTGCCCAAAAGCCTCTTCTCTCCTCTGCCGTGTCATTTCCATCCACTCAGTGTGACTTATAACCAGAAAGTGGGCCCCACCAGAAGGCAAGCCCCACGAAGGCAGGCCTTCACGAGTCAGCAATTCCTTAGCGGCCATGAAAAAATGCCAGGGGAGCATTTACATGGGTCCTGGGAAGAGTGGGAAGCTTTGCCTGGGAAGGCTGGAGGTGCTCATGGTAGCACCGGGTGGGTTCCTTCACAGTCTGAATGTGCCTGAGAGGTGTTGTCTGTGCATAGGGGGCCATCTGGAATTTATTTTACTTTTCATGTTTGAAATGGAGCCTCACTCTATCACCCAGGCTGGAGTGCAGTGGCACATCTTGGCTCACTGCAACCTCTGCCTCCCAGGTTCAAGCGATTCTCGTGCCTTAGCCTCTAAAGTAGCTGGGGCTGCAGGCACACACCACTACTCCTGGCTAATTTTTGTACTTTTTTGTAGAGATGGGGTTTTGCCGTGTTGGCCAGGCTGGTCTTGGTCTCCTGGCCTCAAATGATTCACCTACCTCAGTCTCCAGTGATCCGCCCACCTCAGCCTCCCAAAGTGCTGGGATTTCAGGCATGAGCCACCGCACCCAGCCACTATCTGGGATTTTTTTTTTTTTGAGACGGAGTTTCGCTCTTGTTACCCAGGCTGGAGTGCAATGGCGCGATCTCGGCTCACCGCAACCTCCGCCTCCTGGGTTCAGGCAATTCTCCTGCCTCAGCCTCCTGAGTAGCTGGGATTACAGGCACGCGCCACCATGCCCAGCTAATTTTTTGTAGTTTTAGTAGAGACGGGGTTTCACCGTGTTGACCAGGATGGTCTCAATCTCTTGACCTCGTGATCCACCCGCCTCGGCCTCCCAAAGTGCTGGGATTACAGGCGTGAGCCACCGCGCCCGGCTATCTGGGATTTTTAAGCAGCATAGTGACCTGCTTGGACTTGGGTTTCTAAGGGCAGGTAAGGCGGAGGTGTTTCAGGAGAGGGGAGGACCAGGGTCCATAGGAAGGCAATGGCAGTGGGAGGTGGCTGGTCCGGAGGAGATGGAGGTGGCAGGATGATGGCTGGGAGAAGAGAGCACACAGGTACGAGTCTGGGGGTCTGGTGGGGCAGGCTCCTAGCACGGCCAGTTGAGTGTGTGGCTGGGGCTGCACCTTCCCTGCCCATCCCCTGCTGACAGCGAGTCTATGCTGGACAATTGCCGTCTCCACATTCCAGGCAGAGGTGACTTGGGAACTGTGGAGGGAGGAAACTGAGGTGCAGGAAGGAGGGCTGGCTGGGGAGGCGCCCTCCATGTCCTGGGCTTGGGAGTGGATGAACCCTTCTGGGCATTTTGTAGAGCAGTGATTTTCAGACTCCATTTAGCAGCAGAACCTTTTGTCACTCTTCTCTAAAAAGAATATATTTTACATGTAATGTTGTGAGCAGATGAAAGCAAGGGTGTGAGTTCTAAGCCTCTCTCTCCGGAAGGCCTCCTAGGTCTGGCAGAACTGGAGCAGAGAAACACAGTTGATGGGTAAGCAGTACCAGTATCATCCAGGGCAGAGGGATGAGCGCCCTCCATGCCACAGAGAATCTACATCAGTTCAGTTTGTTTTTGGAGGATATTTTGGTAATATCTGTCAAAAATTTAGATATATATAACCTTTGACCGAGATTCCCTACTTTTAGGAAATTATCTTACCAGAATACTTGCACAGGTACATAAGGATATAAGTCCAAGGTATTCACTGTCATCCTGATAATATTACAAACATTATAACTGCCCATGAATAGCCAGGGTGATTTAGCTGTGTAAGTAGTTGTATCTGTGTTAACGTGGAAGGACATCTGAGTACATTGTTAAGTAGAAAAAGCAAGAATGAGGATCATGTGTGGTCACATTCCTGTCAAAACAAGAAAAGTTTGTGTGTATTTGTATGTTATTGTATGTTTAAAGCCACCTGAAACAGTGGACCCCACATGTTAACACAGGTTATCTCTTAAAGAGATTTCCCTTTTCTAAGCCTCTGGTGTCTCTCTTTTGAATTTTTTCCCTCAAATACCTATTACTGTCATTTTTTAAAAAGCGATCTTAGAAAAATGAAAGGCACTGCAGTTAGCATGGTGGGAGGAGAGTCTGCGGGCAGAGGAGTGGACTGGTAAGGGCTGCTCTGAGGGCAAGGCGGCTAGGACATAGTGGAGAGGAGGCACAGTGCAGGGAAGCTGTGAGGAAGAAGAAATGGGAAACTGAGTCAGATGTCACCAAGAGGTCCAAAGAAGTTGCTCTCAGGTTTGGGAGGAAGTCTGTGGCAGTGGTTCCAGCACAGTTACTGGCCAGTTTGCGTCTGTACTAAAGCATCCGTACTAAAAAACAAGAACAACAAAGAAAATCAGGGCGTAATTCTCAGACACACCCACCTAAACCCTGCGATGTTTGCCCCTGAGTCTGGTGACACAGATATAAATGTCTGTCATCCATGGGAAGGATGCTCGGAAGATCACCCCTAGTGAGAGTATTTTTGTCCACTCTTTAAAAAAGCCATAGTAGGTGGGACCACAATGCCCTGACCTTGCCTTGTTTGTGTGATGTTCATCCTCCTTGACCTAGTGGCTTTTTTCATTCCCTCTATAGTTGCCCGATGACTAACCTTGAACACAAAGGCAGGCCCACTTAGAGCTCTCTGCTTTTATTCACTCAGTATTTGGGCCTGTCCCTTTTCTTTTGGCTTGAATATTTCACAGTTATCCTGGCTTAGCGGGTGACCACTTCTGAATAGCGTGTTTTCCTCACGCCAGGAGTTCCGTGCTGTTTACCTCCACCAGCTAGGGCAGCTGGGCTTGCAGAGGGCCCTCCCTGTGGCCCGCACGGCCCCTTTTGGCTCCACTCCCTCCAGGTGGCTTGTCATGTCTTATGGCTTCTTTTTTATTATCTGAAGACTGTCTCCTTTCTGACACTTCACCAAAGAACAGGCAGCCCCTGCAACTTGGGGGTTTTCAGAGATGAGCATCTTAAATATGACCCACTTTCAGCTTTCAGAACTAAATTTTCTTTTGGGCCAGGTTATGTTTGCTTCAAGAATGGAATTATCTGTCATCCAAATTTCTATTTTGTGTACTTTTTTGTTTGTTTTACCATGTCCTTTCAGGCTCATGTGATGTGCGTCGGTTTTTTAAAAACCATATTTTAATTTTGAAACTTCCTTTGGATTTAAACTCATAACAGTATGTTAACACGCATGCCATCCAAGTAGAATGATTTCAGAAATCCAGATGGTTTCTGTCCATGTTTGTGGATCAGAGCTGAGACTTCAAAGAATTGAAGTAAAAGAAGTTCCCTATTTGCTTCCTTCCAAACAATTTTTAGTTCTCATGTGACTACCAGTTTGTCCTCCCTAGAATCTGAGATAAGGTATACTGTTAATGGTGTCTCTCAGTTGAGGGCATCAGATGACAAATGTTTGGCTGGCCTCTCATTTCCTGGAAGAAGTGACTGATTCTCCGTATCCCCCCTCTGAGTTTGAGTTGTTGGTAAATACTGAGCCGACCGTGGTGGCCATCTTATTGCAAGGTGTGAGACGTAACTGATGGATCGCCAGGAAAGATGGATATTCTGGAGAAATGATGAATAGTAAACATGAATTAGCACCATCTGGGTTGAAATTTTCCACTATAGATGAACATTTATTAAAAAAAATTAATGATCATTGACAGTTTTTCCCTCTTACACCTCAATGACTTACTTTTAGAACAGCTTACTGAATTGCCTTTTAGCTTTGGTCTCAACCACTTAACTAACTTTTTATTGAGACAAAGTCTCACTCTGTCACTAGGCTGGAGCACAGTGGTGGTGTGGTCTCGGCTCACTGCAACCTCTGACACCTGGGTTCAAGCAATTCTACCTCAGCCTCCTGAGTAGCTGGGATTACAGGCACGCGCCACCATGCCCAGCTAATTTTTGTATTTTTAGTAGAGATGGGTTTTCACCATGTTGGCCAGGATAGTCTTGATCTTCTGACCTCAGGTGATCCGTCCACCTCGGCCTCCCAAAGTGCTGGGATTACAGGCGTGAGCCACTGCGCCCGGTCCACTTAACTAACTTTAAAAAAATGTATAGGAGCAACTTTCAGGCTGTTTCTTTGATCTTAGGTGAGGTTGTTCTTGCCTTGTTTTTCATTGAGTGGGACCTCTGTGCAGCGAATGATCTGCTTTGAAAGTGAACCTGACTCAAAGGGTAAGGAGTGTACATGATCATGGCAGAAGACAGCCTATGTCTGCTGAAACATTTAAATTAGTTAAACTTTAAAATTTATGAACAGCCCTGTGGAAATTAGTCTTTATGTTAACAGGTTCAAGCCAGTATCAAAACCTCCACTAAAGTTAGCTCTTGCTAGCTGGTGAAGCCTCCCGACTGGTCTGGAAATGTCTCCAATTAGACGAAATGTCGTATTTCAGCAAATTGTGTTTGGCATTTGTCACCTGATGTTGGTATTGGTTTGTTCATTGAACACATGTTCTGAGAGCTTATTTGCCAAGCATTCATTCTTTCCATGGATATTTCTTGAGTGCCTGCAGTGCCCTATACACTGGGCCAGGGGTAGGGAGACATCTGTGACCAGGCAGACATGGTCCTTGACCTCACAGAGTAACAGTTGACTATTCTAAAAGCTATTGCAGGAAGGACAGCCAGCTCTAGGGGGTGCAGGGCAGGAAAGCCAAGATGAGTATCAAGCTGTGAATGCTCACGGCTGTTCTTCCGCCCCCGCAGCATGGACAAGGACAGCCCCGAGGTCCACCAGGACCTGAACGCCCTCAAAACCAAGTTCCAGGAGATGCGCAAGCTCATCAGCACCATGCCCGGCATCCACCTGAGCCCCGAACAGCAGCAGCAGCAGCTGCACAGCCTCCGGGAGCAAGTCAGGACCAAGAACGAGCTTCTGCAAAAGTACAAGAGCCTCTGCATGTTTGAAATCCCCAAGGAGTAGCCCGAGGCCGACTTCCGGGAGCACCTGAGAAAGAGGGGAAGCAAATGGCCTGTCACCCCACGGCCACCCCCCCGGCCGAACGCTTGTTGGGGCACAGTTCCTGTGGACCCCAGCTCAGAACTTCAAGCTGCAGGGGACGGGGTTCCTGTGCTGTGCGAGTCGCCTGTGCGGGAGCCAGCGCCGAGCTTGGCTGTGCTGGGGCTTCCTTGTGTAGATCCATATGTCTAGATGCATAATAACTGGAGTGCCTGCCGGTGCAAGTCAGAACGCTCCTGGAGGCTGCGGAGCGGGTGGAGGACTCTCCCCTGCCTCTGGGGAGGGGGCCATCTGCTGCGCGTCCAGCCCCACTGACAGATCTGAAGAACACAGTAGGAAGGAGGCGGCTCCTCTCTGCTTCCTCCCCTCCCCTCCTCCCACCCCCATAGGATCAGTGTGTACCAGGTACATATTGTTCCTGTTAGCAGCAGCTTCTTGAAACATTTGCATAGAATCCACTGGACAAATTAAGCCTGCACTCATATGGCGTAGAGCTGTGAGAGAATGTTTTGAAAGGCCAGAGGGTGGCTTTTTTCCCAGTTTGGTTCCTTTTCTGTTTGAGCCGTGAAGGAGCTATAGCTGTGGGGGTGTCAGCCCACAGCCCTGCCAGGCAGCCCCTGCTGCAGCTTCCCTCTTCCTAGCGCTCTCCTCTCCGTCAGCCCTTGCTCTCTTCCTCTCTCGGCACCTTCGGTCAGTGCCCAGGAGTGGCCAGACCACTTCCCATCTGCAGTGCTTCGCCAGGGCTGGCAAGGGGCCGTCCTTTCCACTCAGGCTGGAAGAGGTCTTCAGGCGAACAGACCTTCCCTCTTCTGCCATTTCAGATTCCCATTGCCCTGGTGAAAAGGTCTTTCCCTTCTGGCCTTCTCACTTGTGGCAGCGATGTGTACTGTGCTGCAGAGGGGTTCATGATGCACCTTGTGTTCAGAGAGGGGCAGCTCGGGGGGGCAGTTCGGGTGGTCCCCAGCCATGAGCTAGGCCTGACAGTGACACAGCCGAGTTTGAGCTCTTAAAGGTTCATAGCAGCCCTCATTTCACCAGCGTCCCTGATTGCTTCCGGATGGGACATTTTCTTTGTGTGCTCTCCCTTGACTCAGATTGAGGTAAGAGTAGTTCTCACCCTTGCCTCTCCAAGAGGAGGTGCGAAGTCCTGGAGTGTTGTTTGGGTCTAGGAATGGGCACGTAACCTGCGCTGACCACTTTGGGGGCTTAGCAGATGCCCGCCAACTGACCTCGTTGGCAGGAGGACTGGGTAGAGATGTTTTTAGCAGAGCTGCCATTAGTGTCCAACTGCAGCCACCTGTCAGAAAGTGGGTGGCATATTGGGGACCTGGGGGTGTGTGAAGGAGGAGACCAGATTTCAGTGGCTTTGCACAGAAAAGTAGGCTCTGGATTCAAGTGGGTGGTCACCTGTTAGACCAGTTCTACCTTGGGACTGTTATTTAACTGAATCAGTTATTTCCTTGAAATTTCACAGTAGTGGGTGGGCCAGTTTTAAGGCTCTGGCAGATACCATGAAACATGAAGCACATGGAAATCCAAGACCCTCGGAGTCTGTCTGAATGCAAGGCTGAAACAAACAAGGGCTCCTCACCGGGGTGGAGGGAGCCGGAGCCTACCTTGTGTTCCTGTTTTGACTTGTGACATTTTTCAAATGCGTAATTAAAGGGACTTGTGCTCCGCTGTCTCAGGACATCATGCTTTCTGTACTGAGAAATTCATAGTGGGTTGCTCACAGATCGTTGAGAGGAGAATGTTTCTCACTCTGTTCAGACACAGAACCAACCTTCTGTTCCTCACCTCCCTCCACACTCACCTGCTGAACCAGTGTGGAACAGGAACTCCTCTCCAGGCTGGACTCAAGGGCAGTTTGCCTGGCGGGTCATCCCTGCCCCTGCCTGACACGGGCCCCTGGGCGTCTGTGGTTGCCTTTGGTGGGGTGGCGGCATGGGGGTGGGAGTGCAGTGCCTTTTGGTGACTGGAGGAGGTTCGGTCCTGCCGGCAACTGCCCTCCCTGAGCAGGGTTGAAATCCTAGGACAATTCTGAGTGTCGCTCACAGGGCTGAGCACCCTCTCAAAGTCACTAATTATTTGGATTACTAGGTGGCATGCATTTGTGCTAAGTACTTTTCAAACATCACACTTAATCCCCACAGCAAGCCCATGTGTAGGGTGCTCCGCCCCAGGTTTGCAGTACTAGTGACAGAGAGAGGTGTTTCTGGGTGCCTTAGCCATGAGAGGGAGACAGCAAGGCTGAGGGGTGCAAGGGGCTCCACTCCTGGCCTTGAGCACTGCCTGGAGCTAGAGGGGAGTGGACACCCAGGGGTTAGCTGTTTCCTGACAGGGTGGCACCCTGGAGGGGGGGTGGGAGTGGGCACTGAGATGGACCTGCTTCCAGATGGGTCTCAGGCGCTTTCCTCAGGGCCTGAGTGATAGCTCCAACAGTCTGAGAGTTCGCCTGGGCCCACACTGAGTCTGGTGACAAAATGGCTAGGCACAGTTCCAGTGGCCCATGCGCTGAAGGAGAATTCAGAACGTTTTCTCAGAAAATGAGGCCTTTTGTCATCAGACCCAAAGAAAATTAAGCTGGTAGATGGCTAGAAAGAGTTCGTCTCCAGGAGGGACCCTGAAATCCTTCACATTAGTCCTGGTTTTGTGGGGAGCCATCCCCTGCATAGATGGTTCAAATTGAGGTAAGAAAGAGTAAAAGCACCTAGGGCTTTTCTGGTGGCCAAAGCTGCTTTCAGAAGGGCAGGGTGCTTTCCAGTTCTGGACGGGTAAGTTCTAGTTCCCCAGAAGTCAAATCCCAGCCCCTGCCCTCTCCCTACCCTTTCCACCTCCAGCCGTCTCTAAAAGCAAACAAAAACCGGTGTTCCGTTTTAAATTATTTTATTGTATATTAAAAAACCAACAGTAATAAAGATCTCACGCACACACACGCAGTATAAACAGCAGGGTAAGGTTTTGCCGGTGTCCATGTTGACACCGGAACTCCTGTTAAAGTGCAAGTTTGGTTTTGTGTTCCTTTGTGCAGTTTCACTCACATGTAAACAAGTCACTTGGCTATGATTTAACCCAGCCCCCCTTAGTTTCGGGAGGGCAGAGGCTCTGCCAGCTGTCATGGCAACCCAGAATCACAGACAAGATAATGCCCCGTGGGTCCTGACCCTCAAGCCGGGCAGGACGGTTTCTTGAAGCCTAACAGGCCGGATAACTTCACATCATCCCCACCCCGTGCTCACTCTCAGGTCTTTGAGAAGACAAAGCCACTCTCGGCTGGGCCCTTGCCCCCCACCCCGCCAAGGTGTGGGGATGGGATGGGGTGGGGGTGGGAGCAGTCTCAGTCTTGGCCAGTTCTCTTTCCTTCCAGAGCAGATGACGGTCCCTTCTTGGTTCAGTGGCGCCTCCCCAGCGCTGGGGGCGGATCGCGGGGAGGGAAGACGCTAGTCCAGTCCGCGCGCTTGCGGCCCGGGGCGCACGGGGCATGCCGGGCCGTTGGATTTGACTTAAACAAAAAGGTCCTCCTTGGGTTGTGTGGCCACTGGCGCGGTGGGGCTCCTAGCTGATGACGCAGCGCTCCTTGTCCTTCGCCTGGCTGCCGGCGCTGGCCTTCTCGCGGATGTACATGAGGTCGCTGTGCACGCTGGGCCGGCGCGCGAAGGGTGCCACGATGCCAAAGGCGTCGCCCAGGTCGCCGCCGCCGCTGCCGGCCCGCAGCAGCCTCTTGTTCCGCAGCGCCTTCTTGTGCAGCACGTCGCAGTACTGCACGGAGACCTTGCGGTGCAGGTCCGGACTCATCTCGCTTGGCAGCTTGGCCATGGCGAAGAGCGCGCGGAACATCTGGTCCAGGCTGCTGTTCTTCTTGGCTGAGATCTCGAAGTAGGCGCAGCGCTGCGGGTCGTTGCCCACCAGCTGCTCGATCTCGCGCTGCTCCACCTCGCGGTAGAAGTCCCGGTCACCCTTGTTGCCACAGATGACCAGGGGCACGTCCACGTTCTCCTTGGTTTTGTTCTTGAGGCAAGCCTTGGTGTCGAGGATCTGCTGTCTGAGCCGCTGAACCTCCTCGAAGGAGTCGCGGTTGTCCAGGCTGAACACCAGGATGAAAACGTCTCCTAGAGGGGGCACAGAGAGCAGAAAAGGAGAAGGTGAGGGTGGCCGTCCAGGGGACAAATTGGGCTGACTTCGGGGCTGCGTGGGGCGCATTGGCCTCTCCAAGCGCGAAGCGCACGACTCCAGCGGGACCGGCGCTCGCGGGCTGCCCTGGCCGAGGGTTCCCCGCCCTTCCCTCCCGCGCCTGCCTGGCCCCCGGCTCACCTGTGAGGATGGAGAGGCGCCGCATGGCGGGGAACGGGTGGTTGCCGGACGTGTCGAGGATATCGAGCTGGTAGACCTCGCCGCGGATGGAGTAGAACTTGCGGTGGAAGTCCTCGATGGTGGGCGTGTAGGCGTCCTCGAAGCGGCCGGTAAGGAAGCGCGAGACGATGGCCGTCTTGCCCACCTTGGACGAGCCGAGGATAACCATGCGATAGCAGTTCTTGGCCGGGATACTCAGCTCCGAGTCGCTGGGGCACATCTTCTTGATCATCGCGGCCAGTTTCATTGGGCAGAGGGGCCGCTAGGGCGGGAGCGGGGCCGAGCGAAGGGCGGAGAGCGGCCGGAGGCGCTGGGGAGGCGCGCGGTGAGCGGCTGGAGGGCTCTGCTCCAGCTGGGCGCGGCTCGGGCTTGGGGCTCCGGCTTTGCTCGGGCTGGGCTTGGGCGTGGGCTCGGCTCGGCTCAGAGTCTCCCGGGTTCTGGACACAGACAGCTCGCTCTGGCTCTGGCGCCCGGCCGCCGCCCTTATATGCAGCCTGCGTGGCCGCCCCGCCCCGGCCCTCCCAGCTCGGTGCGTCACGCCCCGCGGGACCCGCCTCCCCCGCACCCGCTCCCGGCCCCGGCGACCTTGCGGACAGCTGCCCAGCTCCTGCTCACTGGGCGCGGGGGCTGGGGGAAACTGAGTCCAGGGTCGGGCCGAGGCTGTAGGCGCTTAGACTCTGCGCTCTTCCACCGCCGCGGGCTCGGCGGCCGCAGGGGTGTTGGGATTCTGGTCTCGGCGGTGCCCCGACCCTCTGCGACTTCTGGCAAGGACCCCCCTTCCAGCTCCTCCCGCGCGCGTACACTCACTTTCTTTGGTTCTCAGTTTCCCCAGAGAGATCTAGTAAGTAACCCAGTAACCGCAGCAGCGTTTGCTGGGGGCTTGCGCGGACCGTATATTGAAGTCCCCAGAGCACGTCCCCAGAGCACAGCCCCAGCCCCCTCCCGCTCCGGTCCCCAGCCCGGCGCTTGTTCCCGAGAGGCTAAGCCGGGCTGGCAACGGGTTTCCGGGCCTCTGGAGCGGAGCTCGGCACCGCGCGCTCAGGCCGCCAGAGGGCAGCAGAGGGTCCGGCCGGTGGCGCGGTGGGGGGGGGCCGCGGGCAATGCTGGAACAGAGGGGAGGAGCTGGGCGGGTGGGGAGTGGAAGGGATGGGGCAGGGGCCTCGGAGCGCCAGGCTGGGGCCCAGCAAGAGCGGTCCCCAACCCCGCGCTCTGCTGCAGGCCTCACCTTCCTCCTTTCTTCCAGCCAGAGACGCTCTGTGGCATGGAGGGCCCTGCAGCCAGCGGCCCACCCGAGGGGCCAGGGCCTCCCTGCCCCGTAGCATTTTGGATCTTTACTCTGTGGCACGTGGGCCGACCTCATTGTCTAGCTGAGAGAACCGGAGCTCAAAGCCACAGTGAGCCCTGGGAGCACAGCACAGCCTCTTGCCTTCTCCTGGGCCTCAGCTTTCCCTTCTGGAAGATGGTGAGACTGGTTCTGTGATTATGGATGAAAACATGCAAATAGTTCAGGAGGACGGGGCGTGGTAATCGCGATAACAGTAGTGTTGATCCCTGGGGCCTGGTGGGGGTACACTCAAGCGCACGCGAGGTTGATCGGTAACAGGAGTCCCGGGGTGATGTTGCTGAACGTTGGCAATAAGCTATCCTGCTTCTCAGCCCGGAGCGCTTGAGGAAGCCACTGCTCCCAGCCACTATAGGCAAGGCTGTGCGCTCAGTGTTTTGCTTTGGCCACGTCTGATTTAGGAGAAACCTAGGGGGCCATTACCCAGCTCCACCAGCCCGCCAGTCAGGTGATGGTGCTCCGTGGGCAGTGTGGTGGCTGCCGTCCTCCCACCCCATGCCTACCCTCTCCCCTCCTGCACTGGTGCTTGCTGCAGGACACTCCCACCTGTTTCTCAGCCCAGCTGGGCCCCCATCCTCAGAGTCCCTGCGTCCCTCAGGCCTGACTCTTACTGTCAGGTATTTCAAATGCAGGCATCACGCAGTGCGCATTCAAGGGCTCATCAGCTGGATCTGAGAAATGTCAGTGGCCCGGGGTCTGGCTCTGCTTCCTGGTGTCACTTACGCAGGAGTTATCTGACAGGCCCCTGGGACTGGGGCCTTGCCATTCTTGCTTCCTGCCCCCACAGAGGCTCCCCTCCCTCCCCATCTGAGGTATGTCTGCCAGAGACTGGGAGAAGAACGAAGCCCCGGCCCTGGGTAGCAGGCTGCAGTGTACAGTGGTCCTGGGTGTTCACTGCAGAAAGGAGCCAGTTGGGCGTGCATGGGGGGCTCAGTCGAGGTACGGGCCTGAACCACCTCCAGACTGAGCACTGCCTTCCTGTGCCACCCACAACAGCA